TTAACCCCTACTAACTCTTCATGTAGTCGATCCCTAACTGGGTGCCTACTTCGGGTACCCCCACCTCTCACTAACTCCCCTACTCGACCTCTCACTCCCCTACTCAGGTACCTCTCACCTCTCACTAACTCCCCTACTAACTCTTCGAGTACTCGAACGCTATTTGGATGCCTACACTGGGTACCCCCTCACCCCTCCTTCCTCATCGGGTACCCGACCTCTCACTAACTCACCTACTCAGGTATTCTTCACCCCTACTAACTCTTCGAGTACTCGATCCCTAACTGGGTGCCTACTTTGGGTACTAAATTTAGTAAATTTAGTACTACTAAATTTAGTAAGAGATAATTTAGTAGTACTAGCCTACTAAATTATCTCCTCGAGTACCCGCTTACCCACTATGTGCTCTACCGCGCTTTCTGCTCTTCCCTATTAGTTCCTAATCTCGGGTATCCACTCACCCACCACCATATATCTTACTGCAATAGCAGCTCGGGTACCCTTAAATTCCCCACTACTTGCGCTATTAAACTATTTTTTCGGCTATTAAACTCCCACTACTATTTGCTCTACTGAACGGGTATTCAACCCTTCCACAAACCCTGACCTCAGATACACGCTTCCCCACTCCTTCTGCTCGGGGTCCCTACTTTGCCACCTGTTTGTGTACCCGTTCAGCCCATTCTGCGATCCCTATTGTCGGGTACTCGCTACCAGTAGGTGGCCTATTGTGATACCTGCTCAGCCACTTGTATATTCTACTACGTGTCCTACTGAACAATCTCCTCGGGTAGTCGGTTGCACCCTACAAGAACTATAAGCGTACCCTCTCCCACTGGATTCTCTATTGCGCCATCCGCTCGGGTGCGCTACTCTGCTAACTCCTTGGATACCCGTTGACCCGCTGGAGTGTTCCTTATCTCGAGTACCCGCTCACCCCTACTCGGTGCACTACTGTGATACCTGCTCGGGTACCCTTAAATGCCTCGCTACGTGCCCTACTAAGGTATCTCCTCGGGTACCCGTTTAGCCCTTTCTGAAATCGCTGGCGTGGGGTACCCGCTGACCCCCATCCGATGCGATACTATGTCTGTTCCGCTTCCGTAATACTACCTACTACGTCTCTACCTGTCGTAATACCAGACATTTTGTTTTTGGCTGTCCTTTAACCGCTTTTATTAGAGAATACTTTTAAATTTCTTTACAAAACTATCTAACCGTTGATATTAAGAATTTTATTACGATTTACGAGAGCCCTTATGAGATTTCTTAATCACAACAGATTTTTCGTTGTTGTTTTTGTATAATTTTCTATTCTGTCTTACTATAAGTGAAGTTTTTTGTTGTGGGGGTTGTGTTTGTCGTTCCTTATTTTTTTGATATTTTCTGAGTTAACCCCCTATTTTTCTCGGTTATTTTTTTAAAATTGTCTTTTTCTTTTGTGCTGTTTTGGGAACTTTACACTTTGGTAGCTGAGCTACATGTTTACCGTGTTTTTGAAATCTTGCCGGTTGTGTTTTCTTATTGTTTGTTATCTTTTTATTTTTTGTTATTGGGGATCTTCGGGCTGGTTTCCCTGGGCGTAAATAAATAACAAATTCTTAATTTCTTTATATGTGTTAACGGTTTAATTTTGCGGCCATTTCTTCGCCAGGGGGTTCGGATGTTTCTAGTATTTGTACTACCTACTATCTGCCGTGTTGGGTACACGTTTACACCCTACTAGAATCTAGTATCTACTAGAATCGGGTACCCGCTCCCTGTCTAGGTGCTCTACTGCGATACCTACTCAGGTACACTTAAATAATCGGTTACGGACAAAAACGTCGCTGAGAAAACAACTCAAGGAGAAAAACGTCGTGGTACAAAACATCGTGAGAGAAAATATCGCAGTTCTAAAATGTCGTGGTCAAAAATATAGCGGTTCAAAAACTTCGCAGTTTAAAAACATCGTCGTCGAATATCGTGGTAAAAAATAATGTAAACAATTTTTAGGTTTAAAATACCTACAAATCATTGCATTCCACACGTGCCTTTTTCAAATCACATTAGTGACATGTTATGTAACTGACTTTCGTCATAACTAACGTAACGACATCTAGAAAATTAATTTAACGCTATGCATGAAAATGTTAATGGCACTTTAAGAATAGACGGAAACAAAACAATGTGTATTTTTTATTAAAACAATATCAGATTAACAAATGTGAAAGAAAATAATTTCATGAATTAACTATCCAATTTTTATGGAGGTAACCTCCTGCAGTTATTTGTCTTCTTTTTTCTAAGCATTTTTAGACTGTTTTTCATGAAACATTATCAAACTTTATAAAGAAAGCTCAATTTATTAATGGCCTTTGTTAATTAACTATATAAATTTAAAATTATACTAAGCTTTCTAGGTTGCATTAATTTTTTACTCATTTTCAATTTTTAAATGTTTAAGTTTCCTTATTTTTTCAGCAAAAATTTATTAGTTCGTTCAAATACAAGTTTGTATATGAAATGTAAAAGTAAAAGAGTCCCTCCTTTTTTTTCTTGAGCTCTATATGAACATGCACTTTCAAGTTTCAAAACCCGAAAACGCATGTATGCTATGATTTGTACATACTTTATTTTTTACCACGATATTTTCGACGACGATGATTTTAAACTGCGAGGTTTTTGAACCGCTTTATTTTCGACCACATTTATTTCTACCACGATATTTCGGAACAGCGATGTTTTCTCCCACGACGTTTTCTCCTTGAGTTGTTTTCTGGGCGACGTTTTCGTCTACGATGTTTTTGACACGACGTTTTCGGCCGACACCAAATACTCTACGATACGCCCTACTAAGCTATCTCCTAGAGTACTCGCTTAACCAAACTAACAGTAATTTTTAATTAGTTTAATATTTTTGTTAAAACTTTGAGAAATTCGGGAAAAATACAAAAAACACTTCAATCAAAGATATCCATCTTATTCGTTACGCCCCATTTTTTATACTGTTAGGTTCGCTGTAGCAGTACAAAATGATATTAAATACATAGCAAAGTGAACCAAAAAAGACGACCCTTTCGACAGAAAGTTTTATTATCCCCTAAACTCTAGGGAAGCGTCGGGAAGGATAAGAATGAAATACCTTTTCAAATAACTTTTTAAGCAACATAACTCTTGTAATTTACTTTTGCAGTGTCTCTCATTTCAAATAACGCAAACACGTTTATTACGCTCAATGATATATTGTTACGTGCGTACGGGTTCGTTACGAAATGAACGCACAAGTCCGATGAAAAATGAACAAAATTTATTATTATAACAAATATGCTTAAATTCCTAAATTATTCGTGCAGTATTACAATATCTCACAGTAGTTATCTTTTAACTACTCAAACGTTCAAAAAAACTTAATTCAAAACAGCTAAAGAAAGCTAACCCGCGAATTCACTACAGTCAACAAGAGCAGTTTTCTAAACAAACTCTTAAACAACAACAAACTCAGTAACTACTACGAACTGAGAGGTTTTCCTCCTTTTTATAAGATTTTAAAATCGCGCACGAGAACTTTCTGGAACTTAAAAAGAGATATTTATTAAATGTTACATATACGCGCTCTTGTATTTTCAATTTTCCGGCTTAGCTTTCTTTTAATATTCGTCACGCGCTGCACTGCGCGGGAAATAAAACCATTTAATTTACAATTCAACTAACATAAGCTATTTAAATACCAAATCCGTAACAATATTATGGTTGGGTTAACTGATTGAGGAAAAGCAACTGGAGGGCTATCTACGTATGGGAAGGGATGTCTTCGTGGAGAAAGTTTTAAGGGAAACTGGACATACTACATTTGGGAAAAATCGGTCATGTAGCTAGCCTGATCCCCGGGATTCGAACCAAGGTAGAACTAGCAGTATTCAGCCACTTTACACCGTTTCGACCGTCCATGGCCACTAATTTCGTCGTACAGAATTTCAAATAGAGCAAGACAGTAACCTCGTTTATTGCGCGCATCTTAATTAAAACTATCGATTTTGAGAGTGAACAGTTATAAGCTCATCTTCCTCAGGAGCAATAAATAAAAGTAAGTATATAAAAAATTCCTTTAAAGAAGGGAGGCGCCACGATCGTATTTATTCCACAACAAAGGTCGGAGCAAAGCGTAGCGCCATCTGTCGAAGGAAATAGTAATGAAATATGTAAAATTAAGCTATTACAATTTTAAAATCGTTAAGAAATACTAGATTGGAATTATTGCCATTAACTAATGAAGCTGGTTCAGAGGAAACAAGGAACGTTTTTCTAAAGAGTTTATGGTTATTACTGGATTTTCTTATAACGGAAAACTTAAAGAGAATAGAAAAATGTGAAAACTAATTTGAATTTAATGTGAAAATTATCTAATCAGATTTGATAATTTTTTTCACAGTTCTTATAGAGATATTTAAAATTTTTGCAATAGCTCTTTTGGGGGAAGGGGCTGGATTTTCCGCTAAGACATGAAAACAGAAATATGTTAATTTTTATAGACGAAATTCCCTTTCTTCATCCAGACAACCTTCACTGTGTTAAGTTCCTTTCAGATAAGGCTCCCAGCCATACCTTTAAATCTACTGCTCTATTTTTTGAAAAACTGAGAAATAAAACCAGTATTGAAGCTATTCCCTTTAAATGCATCCCACCCCATTCCCATGATATGTCTCCTATGGATTACTGTGCATTTGGACTTTTAAAACAAGCTCTTTATATAAGAGGCATCCAAAATCATTGGATGCATTCCGGAAGATTGTGAAGGGAGTGGAGTAGAATTAACTTTGATATTTTAAGAAAAGGGCTTTTATCTTGGAAATCAAGATGTAATATGATAGTTCAACAAAAGAGCTATCAGAATGAGCATATTAGAAAATAAAATTCTAAGGTTTGTTTATATAGATATCTTTGCAAAATCATTACACAAATCTGTGAATACCCTCTGCAGATGCATGTTATAAATTTATAGGAATTTCCAATCTTTTCAGGCACAACTGCTGATCCAAGAGAGAAGCTATCAACAAGCGGAAACACTTTTACTCTCCATCAGTCAGTCTAGCACAAAACGGGAGAGCCTGTTGCATCTAGCGTCGCTGTACAATCTCACGAACAGGACGGCTGAGGTAATATTCCTGTTTCTTAAATATTAAAGCAATATATCGGCTGTACAGTGGAACCTTGGTTCCAGAACAGAATTTGTTATCGAAATTCTTGCAACTTACCTATACTTTTTGCAGCCTCTCTCATTTCAAATAACGTAAGCAAAATGTCTTTTGATAACAAACCATGTCTCAAATACGAACAACAAAGATTCTCCAATATGCGTTCATGCGCGAGAGGAAAATGTCTTCAGAAGAAGATACGAGGGAAGACGTATGGAGAACTTCGGTATTACCTCCTTGATAAAGCTGTAAACAGCCGTAGCCTATATATGTTCGATGTCTTATTTTAGGAGCATTAAAAAGAAACAAATCACTGTGGGAAAATTTTAACACGTTGAGCCCGGCGCCGAATTTGCTGTCCTTTCCGTTCATCCGGTTATCTTGGTAGCAAAATCAGCTTAACCCAGATTGGTAACAAAATACTACCAAAAGCATTGTTACGTATGTAATATGTGTAAAGCTAAACCGTATTTTTGTTTAGAATGTTTCAATAAATTTCATTAAAACTACATTTGATCACATTTCATTGATTCTATATTTAATACTGTCGTCCCGAGGAACGACAGTATTAAAGTTAGAAAATTACTTGTATAATTTTAACTTTAATTTTTAACTTTAAAATTATAAATTAAAAATTAAAGTTTAAAATATAAAGTAAAAAATGAAACTTAAAATTATAAAAGTTAAAAAATTATTAAAATTAAAGTTAAAACATCTACGAATTAAAAAAAAATCCTAGATATTTTAACTTTCCGTGCGGCCGGCGTCGGGCCACGGAAAGTTCACTGCTGGTCCCCAGGGACCGGCGTCGAGATCAACGTGTCAATGGGCAAATGCTCAGCAGTTCTAATGTAGAGGCGACAAAAGGAAAAACCCAGAAACACAGCAGCTACATGAAATTTCTGGAGAATAGGATTTCCCATTCAATAACATTTGACACTTTCACTGTTTTCTGCTTAGGCAATGGTAAAGAGAATTGAATTTTGTGAAAATCCAAACACTCTTAGGAGATAAGTATTGAATGAAGTAGCATAAGAAATGGTATTTTATGTATAAGTTTTATATCAATGTGAAGCCCACCATGAATGGAACAAAATGATGCAAGTTTGAAAGAGTACGCCAAGACAATCATAAGTTATTTAATTTTGAAATCCACGAATTTGTAAGTTTTATATCATCAACAATTATAACAGTATTTATCCTTTGAAGCATATTAAACAACTATATTCAAATCTTTATAGCAATATTTTCTGATTATTTTTGTATTAAAAATATAATTTTATACAGACTGATAGAACTAAATTTTATCTTTCCATTCATATAGGTTTATGGCAAAAATGCTTTAATCTGCGTAAAATATCCAAAATATTGAATTTTTATCAATTTTCTTATTTCAGAAAGCCATTGTTTCAAACTCAAATGCGAGATTTTGCAAAAGCACAGGCTAAAACTATTTTTCTTTTTCTATCAGAAATGAGATACATTCCGCTGACCTCATAGATCACGTGACTTATGTATACCTTTTGTAAACAGGCAATGCAGATGACCTCAGAGATCACGTGACTTATGCACAGCTAATGCAAACAAGCAAGGTCATTCTTCCTCTTCTTCTCTTGCGGAATGTATCTCATTGACTTAAAATTGTTAAAATGTACGAGTATTTTAATGTTTTACAATAATAAAATTCAAAAGGAACTAAACAACTGATTACTTTAGATTATTATAACTATAAACAAAATAAAAATAAATGCTTTAATATCGATAATCTTTTTACATTTGCAATAATTGTAAAGTGTAATATTCAAAGGCAAACACACATTATAACTAAAATATTAGCCTTATTTTTTATACGAGTATTAAATTATTAAGTTTCTAAACTATTTTTTATTATACTATTTAATAATTTTAAATTTGTAATTTACTATTGCGACTTATTTGATAACTGCTGTTTTAACTATCAAGATCATCAAGCATTTCATCACTAAATAATTGCAGCTCCACTATTCATTATCATATAAATATTAAGTGTACATCTTCATCCAACATAATCATCATCTGCATTATCTGCAATAGCTACAGAATAAAATGATAATCTATATTACATTTGAATGATGAAAGATAAATGAAAGTCCAAAACGCTTATGATAACTGCATCACTCTTTTAAAGAGCGATAAAAACACAAGAAATATTTTTTTCTGAAAAACTCTACAATAAAATTAAATCATTTGCCGACTTCCTCAAAGATTGAGTACTGGATAACACCTCAACTAGACCAATGGGATCAAAATCGCTAAGTCTTCATGACCTTGCCAACTGAACCGACATCAGTAACGTTAAATGACGCATCAACATGTCTAAAAAACGCTCCAGTTTTGCAGCGAGCTTTTGACCCTCTAATATCAAAACAAAATATGATTCAAACAGTAATCCCAGAAAGAACTGAGAATTCTACCAACACAAGTCCAATAATACAGGATGAAAAATACATAATTACTCCTATCCTCATGAGAAAATTAGATTATTTACTCCATTTATATACAATATAGGATTTCAACCAAATTCCAGTAGTAAACAAATAGAATCAAACGACGGCCTTCAAATGAATAGAAAAGAACATTATCCAAATACGGAATTTTATAACAGCGACCTCGGACCTAGAAATGATCCTAACTATCAAAGAAACCAACCAAGAAACAACTCTATGTATACTAATTCAAGATCGTATATATATATATATATTAGGCAGATAGCCCTAGTGTGCTTTGCTATAATTAAATAAACCAAACCAAGATCGTATATAGAAGTTGCGAGTTCATATCAAGTAAACCGAATAATACCATACTCTTTTACCCAAATGATGCGAGAATATGTAGAAATTTTCAAGATAAATTCAAAGAAATAATACCGCTCCAAAAATTAAAAATCAGTGTCAAAAAAAATAAACTCCAGGCACTGTCATAACCCAGAAGATGTAGGAAAAAAATCAGCTGGAACCTCAGTGCCAAAACTGCTGCAAAAGAAACAGTTAATAAAATTTCCTACAGCCAGAATACCAAAATGCACAATTCGTAATACTCTAAAAGGTTTCAACCCTGATGAACTGATTCAAATTACAGCTCAAGAAACGCAATCAAATAGTTCAGAGCTAAGACCCTTATTAAATTGAATGGTCAAAATAAAATAATACTGATAATTGGATCATAGAATCTCACGGTCAAATTTTCCAAGGATAGTAAAAAACAAATATATATTGGATGGCGCACCAATAAAATAACCGAATTTATCGGTGTACGCAGATGCCAAATCTGCCAAGACTTCACCATTAAGTGAATACACTTACTGGAGTAGCAAAATAAATTCTTGCTAACCCAGTAAGTGTTACACTGGAGTGGTAGGAATTGCACACTTCTGAACAAAACACTGCCACTTCAAACCAAGGTGTAAAGAAACAAATTCTGCGGCGGATAACACCATGCTTCTAGTTGCTCTACCCAAACTCCGTACTGCATAAACTGCTGGATTAACAATGAAAAGTATGCAACAAACTTTGATTGTCAACAAACTTTGATTGTAAACAAACAGCTTCAGTTACTTCTTGCTGCACATATCAAACAGAAGTTAAACGAGTTAAATCCAGGGCATATAATCAACAATAATGCAGTATCCTTCAAATTATCTATCGACCATTTCTATGAATAAAAAGAATAATAACTGCATCAGATTTTCCCAAATAAGGATAATTTAATGAAAAGAAGGATAATTTAATGGAAATAAAAGGATAATTATAAGGATAATTTAATGTAAAGAAGGATAATTTAATGTAAAGATAAGGATAATTTAATGCAAATAAGGATAATTTAATGTAAAAAAGGATAATTGTTACTTTCATATTTTTTATTAAATAATAAATTTTTGCTAAGAAAATAAGAAGAAAACTTAAGCATAGAAAATTAATGCAACTTATAGCACTTAATAGAATTTTAAATCGACATAGTTAACTAACAAAGACCATTAATAAATCATTTTTATAAAGATTTTACAGGTAATTTTTCATAAAAAAGCATAATCTATTAAGTTGCATTTAATTTTCTATGCTTAAGTTTCCTTCTTATTTTTCAGCAAAAAATTTATTAGTTAATAAAAAAATGTGAAAGTAAAAATTATCCTTCCTTACATCACTTGCGCTCACAAATCATTATGGGAATATCCATTTACAGTTATTAAAGCCTGAAAAAAGCATGTCTGCGATGTTATCGTCGTGCGATGATTTGTAGATACTCTATTTTTTACCACGATATTTTCGACGGCGATGTTTTTAAACTGCGAAGTTTTTGAACCGCTTTATTTTCGACGACGATGTTTTGTACCACGATGTTTTCTCTTTGCGATGTTTTCTCCCACGATGTTTTGTAGCACGACGTTTTCGCCTTGCGTTTTTTTCTCCGCGACGTTTTCGTCCGCAATGTTTTCGGCTGTAACCATTTATATATTAGTTACTTTAAATTACTCTTAAAACACAAACAAAATGCTCAGTATTCATTACGACTAAGTAGGTTTCAAAAGAAACGTAACAGGGTTGCCACAAAAGTATGCGAAATATTAAGCACGCAATGAGCACTCCCTGGCGGCCGAGTCGGTCATCACCATACTGTATTTGCAAAGCGGTTGCTCGAAATGCAAGTGCCTGCAATTTTATGAAGATTGTTTTTTTACAAATTGTACTAACCATTTTGCTGTGCGGGCACCTTTATAAAGTTTACAAACGTTTCTGTCTCTTCGAACGGTGGCTTATTTACTCGTAACGATCACTTGGTGTCGTAAGCTCGTTTGGTGCTGCTTGGTAATTAGTCGCTCGATCGTGTCGCCATCTGTTAGCACCGATGAGAAGTGCAGCAGCGCAAGAGTTTCACATGTTTTTAAGGACGATAAACGACCTCGGGATTCGATCGTTTGACGTAAA